TCAATTTCTCCTTAATAAATAAAGGGGATTGATATTAGCGTTTTGGTTAATATTCTGATTGACATTATTTTTTACCCTTGTTTGTCGAGGTATCGCCAATGCATCCCCGATATGTGACATTTGGTCTGCTAATATCTCAAAACTAGTGGTAGTGTTTTGAACTAATGTGTTTAGTACTGTAGTCAACTGTTGTGATAACATGTTAACCATCTCGAAATTGCTTTCGTCCATTGTTGTCGAAGTACTCCTAATGAGTTACTGGAAATTCCAATACTAGCGTTTTCGATAGTCTCAAAATTGGATCGATGATCATCTCTATCGAATGTATATCTCTCGTGATCCAGGTTTGCTTTGTGATCCAGGTTTGACACTAGAGGCGTCTGTTGTGTTCCTAAATTTTGCACATTCCCTGAATTCTGGGGTGTTACTAAATTTTGAGATACTCCTAAATTTGAGGATACTCCAAAATTTTGAGGCATGCCTAAGGTTTGAAATGTTCCTAAACTTTGGGGCATTCCTAGGTTAAATCTCGTACTTCGTTGTATTGAAGAAGTATCAGCCCCATTCATATTATTAATCGAAAAGCCAGGCGGTCTTATTACACTCATATGCGGACCTGCATATGTTGTTACGGGATTCCCCGTAGTTTGTATATTGTTTGACATTACAGTGCTAGACCCTAACTGGGTGTTTACCGATGTGCCTGAGCTTTGTTCAGCACTCACAGGTATCGATGTACTCACAGTTGTCGATATTACGGGCATATTCCCATTGTGAATTTGTCCCCCAGTGTTTGGTAAATGTGAACTATTTGGAATCTCATTGTTATTCTGATTATGTGGTGGATTTTGACTCATTCTTAGTACTCGTCCACTCCTTAATCTCATACACTTTCGAACTAACCAATTGTCTCTACCTGGTGCGCCAATTTGTTTCTGGTGAAAATTGGATCGATTTAGATTTCTCAGAGACTTAGATTCTAACCAAATTTCAACCACGTAGATTCTTTTTACTTAGGCTAGCAAGCAGTTTTCAATCGAAATATGTATGAGAGTAAAAAATACAACATTATCGAGCCGAATCGAATGAAAGGTAAAACATGCATGTATATTAGAAACATGGGAAGCGTAATAAAGCATGCATATTGATATCGAAAGTACTATTTTTGGTGTTTTCTACTAAGAAACGCGAAGTAAAGAAAGCAGTAAAAGCGTCGAATCGAAAAGCGGTGCAGAATATTAAATTGCAGAAAAATGTAAAATATGTAAACCTCAAATTTGCATTAAGTGTAAATGGCAAGGAATCGAAATTGCGGAAATGCAAATAACAGGAAATCGAAATTGCAGAAATGTAAATGGCGAGGATCTTAAACGCATAACCTTAACTTGCATAAAAGTAAATTTTGCATAAAAGTAAATGACAAGAAATTGAAAAGGCAGAAACTTAAAGCTGATAAACATAAATTGCAATGAAAGTAAATTACCAGGGAAAGTAAAGAAAGCGATAAAGATAATCAATGAAAACGGAAATCCAGAGCATTAGAAACTTCATGATGCGTCGTTCTCCTGTAGACTGTTCACTAGCGCTTCTATTGTCTCTACCAATTTCCCCCCCTCTTCCTCAAGTCTTCGCTCTATTTATAGAGCACCCTTCAAGTAACCTCCTAAGAGTAGTTAACAAAACTGCCACCACGATCCAACATCCACGTCCCTAAGTTCTACGGTTTAGAAAACTACATTTCACGTTCCCATGCATGAGATAACCGCTCCCTTGATCTTCGATCTCTGCCACGGTTTAGAAACTGCTTCCCATGTTCTATGTGCGCGTTAACCGTTCCCTTGATCTCGATTTCAGACATCGAGTACTTTGAATTGATTTTAATTTCCTTTAATCTTAACAATACACTAGATTCTAATTTCTCGATTCTCTTCAACAAATAGACATCGAATATTCTTCCTTCGATTCTCGATTCTGATTCTCAATTTATATGTGTTTTTATCTTGTGGTTACCAGGTATCTTCTGTCTGTCTCTTATCACTCTTTCAACCAACCATATGATCTTCGATATTCCTCTTTCTTATTTATCCATCCTGGTATCGATTTTTCTTTACTAACATATACAAACAAATGAAGAAATGTATACAATATCTTATATTTTTGTAGCAAATATTATCCCCGATATAAGAAGTAAGATATATTTGAATAATCAATTTTTATAAAATCAACAAAAAAAATATTTTTTAAAAACTTATAGTAAAGAAATCAATATTCGTAAATTCACTTTTCCAACAAATTATTTTTTGTATACTTTGAAATAAATACAAATTTAGAACTCATTCGGCTCACATTTCAAAGAGTCATTCTAATATTATGTTATGTCAAATTGATAACTTGAAAATACAATTTAAAGTCAAATTAGTGTTTAAACATTATAACTTAATGATGAATTCGATTCACTTTTATAAATTCAATTATTAAATAAGAATTTTCGTTATTTCAAACCTAAATTGACTCCGATTTATGTTTCCAAGGACTAAACACAGATTATTTACTAACAAAAAATAAATGTAAATCGTATACAACTATTAACTGAAAATTGTTACACATTATATACATGCTTAGTTAGTTTGATTTTACTTAATCATGTTACGGATATTAACTTTGTCAATGACTAATTTTCATATAAAAAAATCCTAACTCGTCAACTTTAGTTTCATTTGGTTAAAAAAAATAATCAAATTGTTTAATTTGTTGATGCACCAAATTTGTGTACAATATTTTCTTGCAATAAAACATGCTTTAATAAAGGTAAAATTTTAATTTAAAATACAAACAAATGTTACATAAACTGTTGTGGTGGATTCAAGGTAAATAGAGTGATGTGTAAGAATTTTAGGAAGTGTCACACAATTTCTTTTCAAAGAAAACATCGGACACATTATTTATTAGAGTAAATTTCTAGTTTTCTATTTATAAATTGCAAAATTATATTATTTATTATACTTTAGATATTTATTATTCTTAGTTTAAAAAAAAAGGTATTTTAGTTTTTTAAAAATTGAAAACTTGTTTGATAATTATTTTATTAAAATCATTTTAAAAACTCTCTTAGTTTTATAGTTTTTAAAATATAAAAAATATAACTATTTAAAGATATCTTGTTTTTTTTTCTCTTTTCTTTAAACAATTATAGATAATAAAATATTTTTAATTTTTATTAATAATAAAATTGTAAATATTTTAAAACTGACACTAAAAAAAGTCTATTATCTACAAAATATTACGTACCGATAAAAATTTGTAGGTAAATTTTACATTACTTACGGATATTACCTATGGATAAAAATCTGTAGGTAAATTTTACATTACTTACGGATATTACCTACGGATAATCGATACTCCAACCACTAAGCTATTAGGATATTCTAATAATAATTTACAAATAAATTACAGTTATATTTATTTGTGTAAATATATAAATATATAAATATATAAATACATAAATACATAAATACATAAATATAAATATAAATATAAATATATAAATATATCAAAATATAAATATATTTATATTTATATATTTTATATTTATATATATTTTATATTTTATATATTTTATATTTATATATTTTATATTTATATATTTACACGGATAAATATAAATATAATTTATTTGTAGGTTATTATCAAAATATCCTAATAGTTTATTGGTTGGAGTATCAACCTCCAACTCTAAGATACTTGAGTTTAAATCCTGCCAATGATATCTTTCTTTAGGTAAGGTTTCAACATAAAACCAATTTACAATTTACAATACTTAGAGTAGTTGTATTACGGATTTCCTACGTGGTGTGAAACTTTTCTCATTCAAACAAAATATATTTTATAATATCTTTTTCATATTGAACTTCATATTTAGAAAATAATAATAATAATAAGTTGCGTGCTCTGTTAGTCAATCGTAACAATTAAATCGTTTCCCTGCAAGCACCATATTTCTAATTTCTATATTATGGATTTCTTTATAACAGTAAAAATAAATATATTTATTTAAAAAATTATAATCAAATGAGCTTTGGTGTTTTTAATTTTTAAAATCATTTTTTAGAACCATTTTATGAAACAGATTTTTTTCATTTTCTAATTTCTTAAAACTATAATATCAAACAAGAATTTGTCGAACTTATTCTTAAAAATGACTTTTTAAAAATTGTTTACTAAACTATTTTTAAAAACTAAATCAAACTAGACCTTAATCTTTCTAATTCTTTTTATACTTGTCCTTAATTTTTTATTTTCAAATTTATTAATTCAATCATTTAAGGTAACACTTTTTAATCTTATAATATTAATAAAATGATTAAATTCACTTATTTTGTTAAAATTTTTAAAAAAATATATTAATTTTTAAAACACAACACTCAACATCAAAATTCAACAAAAAAAAAAACAAAAATATGAAGATTATAGACATACTTAACCCTAACCCATATACTACCAACTCAAGGATGACAGAAACTTTGTAAGAAGAATCAACAGATCATGATAAAACGTATGTTAGAACTACATAGGTTAGAAAAATCCTTTTCTGAAAACATATGTTAGAATTTGAGATTAAATATTACGTTTGAATAACTAATATGTACAAGACTAAGTATTTTATCGTGAAACTAATAATTGAAGCCAAAAATGAACTAATTGAAAAAATATATATATTTGAGAAACAAACAAGCATAAAAAAAAAAGAAAAAAAGCTTTGTAAATAAGAATCTTTTAATTTACTTTATTGAGAATATAATTTCTTGATGTAAAAAAATTAACTTTACAAAAATATCAAAAAGTTGCAAATTTTGTATGATAAATTAAAAATTTTAACTGTATAGTCTTTATATAAATACTTACATATTTTGTTTCTGTGTATATATAATAAAGAAGAAAGGTATCTCCAAAATCATTGATGTGTAGGTTCCTCAAAATATTTTTGTCAAAAAATGACATAATTAGCAGTTATCAGTTGTGACATCAGTAGTAGTAGTAGTTGAACCGATTCCCACCTGCAACCATGGTGAAGAATTGCCTCCAAATTTCAGGTCCTTTAGCTCACTTAATTTTGCCAACTTGATCTTATTTTCAGCATCGTTATCAATATTTTGCATTATGTTAGTAATGTTTTTGTCCTCATCATTGTTGTCAATATCAACACTATTGCTATTATGATGGAGACTTTGACACTGGCTATTGTTATCATCTTTAACGTCCTTTGATGTAACCCAAGGCTGCAAGTACATTTCTGTAGAAACATTCCTTCTTACAAGGTCATTAGAAGGTGCAGGAAGGTTAAGGTCTAACTTGAGATCAAGAGGCTCAGAAGAGGTATCAAACTTGGGTATTTGGTCCAAATTATCTTGAAACTGTTGAAATCTGGTTAATGTGGAGGTGTCAGGTGCATTTGAAGTGATCCAATGACACCTTTTGTGTCCCCCCAGAGCTTGTCCTGAAGAGAAACTCCTGTGGCAAATTGAACATTCATGCACTTTGGATTTCCTCTTGGAGGAAGAGGCCAGTGTGGGGTTGGAGCCATGGTCGAATTGGAGGGTGGAGTTTGATTTTGAAGGAAAGAGTTCTTCCTGTGTGATGACATCATCCTCAGTAATGAGATTGTCGTCAAGGTTGTCTAGTCTTGCAGCAAAACAACCCTTAACCTTTTTGTGGCTTGCTCTGTGCCCACCCAATGCTTGGTGAGAATTGAAAACCTTCTTGCATGCTTTGCATTCAAACCAGCCTTTGGCAATCCCTTTGGCCTTGTTATCAACAAGGTTGGTCATGTTGTGAATATTGTTAGTGTTATTAACTTTGTATGACAATGGCGCAATGAAATTCATGGGATTTCTTCGTTGTTCTTCCTCCTTGCTAGCGGATGCACATGATTCTTCAGGCTCAGCTGAAAGAGGATCTACAATGGCATTGGACAACATCATTAAACAATTTGCTAGGTCTTCTTCCTCGCTTGATGGACAATTGTAATTGAAGCTACCAACCTTAGTTCTCAAAGACCTTTTCCTTTTAGACCACCCACATCCTCTCCGGTCGCCGCCGCCGATACCACCGTCATCACCTTCAGAACCCGGAGAAGAGACAAAGGAGTCGGCATCCTCAGAGGTGCATTTTCCATGTTCAAGAAAAGATTTCCATGATAAAAACTCTTTGCCACAATTCTCACATACCCTACAACTCTTTAACCTATTAGGATTTGTTCTTAAAGCATACATGCGCTTGTTGCTGGGTGGCACATTGCCACCCAACCTATCTTCCCAATCACTTGCTTGATCATCATCATCCATGTGACCACTTTCATCCCCTATGCCATGAGCCCTCATGTGTCCTCCCAAAGCTCTTCCACAACCAAAACCTTTCTTGCAAATTTTACAGAAGTGCTTGAAGTTTGATTGTTGATCCAATATCAAAGCCATAAAATTCCAAGACTGGATAGGTTGAGAGTTGAAATGTTAAAAAGAGGGAAAAGGAAAGAAAAAAGGGGGGGAGGGAGAGGAGAAAAAGAGACAGATAGATGAGAGGAGGAAGTGAGTTAAAAATATAACAAGGGTGGAGTTTATTCTTGTAGTGATAGTTGTTAAGGGTTGTACGGTGACAATTAAGGGCTAGTAGCCCTAGTTTTTAGTTAGAGTATTTGTGGATGAGAGAGAGAGAGATGCATGAGTTCTTTTACAGCAAGAGAGTGTGATGACAAGTGGAAAAATGAGAGAGGGTGAGACTTTTTCTACGACTTTTAGGTAGTAGCGCCGCCTGCTAAAGGTACCAAGGGAGGTCCGTGTAGTGTGAGAGATAGAGAGAGAAAAATATTATGTGTTTTGTCTCTCATTTTTGTTATTAAGTCAATGTAAATATGTGAGTGGAAGGAAGATAACGCTCTAAACTACCATAACTATTCTTTTCCTTTTATTTCCTAACCTTGGAAACTAACCCATGTTTCTCCTTTCTTGTCGCTTGATTTTTGTTGCTTTCCCACCTAAGTATACCATTTTTCATTTTTATAGTAATCATAATCTGTGATTATAAGCTAGTTTTGGTCTTCCCTTTTGATTGGATTTTCCTCTTTTTGTTTAAAATTAAACATTACTTTCTTTATTTCATGGATTATACATTTTTTCTATTTCGAAATGTTTCGTACACATGCCCATCAATCATGGATGAATGTATTTTCTTATATCTTCACATTCATACCAAATTGCTTCAGTGTGTATAATTCACCAGTCAACCTATAATTATTTTTATCTTTAACACGTCAAAGGAAACAAAATGCTAAAATATGTGGATTTAAACCATGGAAAATAATCTAGTTTTAATTTTGTCTACTTCCTAAATCAACTCTAATGCTAAATATCATATTATTGTAACTTCCATGTATTTCTTTCAACTAAATTCCCACTGGGCACCTCAATTTTTATTTTTATTTTTTTATTATTCTTTTTGTTTCGTAACTATTGATGTATATATAGATTTTGAGATATCTAAAATCAAGTATACACTTATTTAATCTTTTTACAATAAAAAGATAAATTCTATATGATAAATGAATGAATGTGTTTTGATATATATTTACGTTGAACACGTCAAAAGAAAAAAAAAATTGCCGAATCATATGGATCTGACACATAGAAAATTCATCTACTTTTTATATAAACACTCATGCAAAATATCATATTATTGTTACCTCCATGCATTTCTTTAAACTAAATTCTCACTAGAGCTTAAAACTTATTTATTTCTATTATTCCTTTGGTTTCGTACCTATATTAATATACATAGATTGAAAAATATCTAAAATAAAGTACATTTATTTAATCTCTTTACAACTGAAAAAACATAAATTGTACAATAAATGGATAAATATATTTCGTTGTATGTTCAAATAGATAGCAAATTGTTTACACGTGTGTATGCATGAGTCAACCCATAAATATATTTATCTTGAAAAAGTCAAAGGAAAAAAAATGCCCAAACATATGGATCTAAGGCATAGAAAATTATATAGTTTTAAATTCATCTACTTTTTAAATAAACTCTATCGTGTTATCCATTTTTTTTTTCAACTAAAAATATATTACATTAAATTCATACTGACTTTGAAATATCACAATAATTTTTAATTAAAAACATAAAACTTGATTTTAATATGAAATATTTATTTAAAAGCATTTAATGGTTGTATAATATGAATAATATGAATATATTTAATTACGTTTTTAGTTCTAAAGTTTGACGTAAATATTTTTATATTCTTTCAAATTAAAAAGGAAAAATATTTGTTCTAGTTTCTCAATTGTAGTAAAATATAATGTTAATCATTAAACATCAAATTTGAGCAACTAAAAACAAGCTTAAAATTTGCTATTTATTTGAACATACAATTTTTATAAATTTATTCAAAGGAAATTTCCACGAATTTATATATGGAAAAATTCCCATGGACTTATTCATGAAAAATTTTCATTAACAAGTTCATAAAAAAATTTAAAGATATTTTCCACAAAATTTTTTTGTAGGAAACAATTATTATTATTATTTCATAATAATTCAAGATTATAACTAGTTTTGTTTTTTTTTTCATCTAGTTTCTATAATTCAAATAATGAGACCGGCTAAACATTAAAAAAATTAATTTTTTTTTTATTTTTTTCTATAATTCAAATAATGAAGTCTACTAAATATAAAAAATTAAAAACAAGACATACATCAATCATGTGTTAACATTTTTAATATAATATTCAACAAATTCAACCAATGAATCAAATAATGCAATATTATAAAAATGCATAAATTGAACTACTTAATAATCACTATATTCAAAATAATCTTCATCTTATTGTTGGTCACCTAGTTCACTCATTTGTTGTTGTTCTTGCTCTTGACTATTATTAACATGTTGAGAAAAATGTCTAAGTTGTTTTTGTGCCTCAAGAGGAATATATGGAATGAAAGTATTAATCAATTCTCAAATTTGGAATTCAAAAGACAAACTAATGTCTTGCTTATTAAAAGTTGTTTTCTTAATTAGTTAATCTCTTCTACATCACGAGACTTATTAGAAGATTCTTGTGTATATTTAAGGATGTTGTTATCTTCATTGATAACACGAGCAGCCTTTATTTTTTCCACCATTAGCTACCATTCAACGTCAGGTTCTAAGTTTTTCCTCTTCGAAAGGGTACGAGGAAGTGCATTTTGAACTACCATGAAACATTAGACTTAATATCAACAAGTTTAACCTGAAAATCTTCCTGTTATACATAGGAAAAGTTTATTTCACAAATATATTAAATATTATTAAAGAAACATATTATCATAGTCATACGAGTCATCTTAAATCTATTATAAACAAATGCACCAGTATTTTTCTTTACAAGTGTTTGCTTGAAAAACTCATCAATAAATAGAGTTTGACCAAATTTTTTGACTCGAAACAAATCATATAAATAAACATATATACATCACATATTATTAATTACATAATAAAGAAAATTAATTTATAATGTATATACCATGCGAATGGCATGGAGCCACCAATATGCATACACCTATCCTTATTAGATGTCTTAATTTTTCTAAACTTGTTCACACCTTAAGCGATAAAAAATTGCATTCCATTGAATTAACATATTGTTCTATATATTCTCTCCAATTCATGTTGGTCGTTTATCAGCATTTTGTGCTTTTATTAACATCTTAAAAAGTTTATGAGATGTTTTTAAGTTAAAATTCTTCTTAATTTGGCTTTCACCATCATTTCTCCATCTTACATGTTGCTATACGAAGAAAAAAACAAATAGCTTAGTTAAATATAACGTAAAAAAAAACATGAAATACATATCCCTAAATGATTATTTTTATATTAAATAGAAAACATCTTAAATTGTTGGAAAAATATCTCTCTCCTTTTTTTCTTTGGAATTGAATCCCATGTAAGCCCATGCTTTTGATATTGTTGATTAACGGTCAATGTGATAGCTTTGCTAAAACAAGTGGTGAAATTTTGATATATAAAAGTGAAAAAATAATTAACATATAGGATTTCAGAGGTATGTTCAACTTCTGAAGAGAAGTACCATTATCTGGAATGCATGGGAATGATGTTGGTGGCACAATTGGAGCTGACATGGATGCATTAACTGGGAATGACGTGGATGCAATAGTTAAGGACGGCGTGGATATATAATAACTAGGGATATAAATGGGAGTGGAGACGGTCTAGGTCAAATAATTGGCAATGGACATGATCTAGCTGCACCAACTAAAATTAGGATTTCTCTACATCCAACAACTGAGATGGACTGATAGTTGGGGGTGGAAATAGTGTGAGCGTAGCACATATATAAGGTTTGTATGAGTGCAATAACCAAGTATTTAGAAACATATAATGTATAACAATGTGAAATTAAATCAAAATAGAAAATCTATTTCCTCGGTACATGTTGCCTCTACTAAAATGACTGAACCAAAGAAAACAACACCTATTTTCATTCTATACAGACCATAAAACAAGCCTAATGCTGTGTTGTTCTAACAATTTAGCATGCATCAACACACACGTCCTACAAAACCAAATTGATTTAATGTTTAAATATACTAAAAATTAGGTTGGAATTATATAATAATCTAACTTAAGTGGAAGCGCTTCTGATAATTTATTTATGACGAGATATAATGAAATTAATATGTTAAAGATTTTGTTTAAGATTGATGATAAAGTTTTATTATGTGAATCAACATGAAATCCCCATTGTCATATCATTGTACTATAAAATTTAATATATTATGATTTATTTTAGCCATCTATCAATTGAGATATAAATAATTAGTTAACATTGGTTAAACATATTCAAAATAGAGAAGTAAACAGGACTCTCAATAAAACACTTTTTGCAAAAACTACACATCCTATAAAAATTTGAAATAGAAAAAATAAAATAAAAAAAAAGAAGAAGAAGGAAAAAACAGAAATATTATATCAAATTAAGTAAACGTTTTAAAAGAAAGAAGTAAAACCTGGACTCGCAATTAAAATTTTTTTCTTACAAAAAATGAAAGAACACCTTCAATAAAAATTAGTGAACTAATTAATTAAAGTAATATAACGAAGAAGAAGGAACACAGACAAAGTTTAACGCAGGAAGATAGTATTATGGAAGTGATGCAAGAGGAAACCTTATTAATGGAAACATGAAGCAAACGCAAGGAGAGAAATAAGAAAATAAACGAGGAAATTGAAAAAAAAAAAATTATAATGTCACACAAATCTACTTTTCGTTATTAAATTTTATCTATCACCAATAACAGTATAATTGAATAATAAGATTTTATTTAAAATATTTTTTATTCTTAAATATATTATTTATAAAATTGGTTCTAATTTAAGATCCATGCAAAACTTATTATGATTTATACAGATATTTTGTCTAAATCTATTTTATATTCTCGTCACATTTGTATTTATAATAAATATTATATCATTATTATTCATAAATATATTTTTTTCTCACCGATATATGTCTTAAAAAAAATTATCCATTATCAATTTTTTTCATAGAAATAATACTACGTTATTAAACTTTAAAGACATTATTTATTAAATATTTAGGTAAAGATATATAAGGATTATTTTCTATTTGTTTCTTTATTTTTTTATATAAAATATAATATTTTTACTTTGTATTCTTTCAATAATATCACTCTTTTTCATATTTTTATAATATTTGTAAAGTAGATCATTGTTATCAAATTGTTCTAATAAATAATATCAATGTATAATTTTATTTTTAAACTTCTCTCGTTTGTTTTACAATACACTTGATTCCGTTATTTTTGTACATTTTTATTTTATTTTATTGTACATCATAAAAATCATATAAAATTTCAAAAAATATAAATTTGATTTTTGGAAATTTAAATGAAAAAAAAAATGAAGAATTAATTCAATTTCAATGTTGTGTTCTTAATCAAACTTAGCAAAATAAATGGAATGAATCACCACATATCAAAAGTAAAGTGATTTGATTATACAGAACTTTATAGCTTAAAAACTGGAAAAAATAACATAAAAACTACAAATTAATATTACATTGTATTTATAATTTTTATCGAGATCACTAATTTATTAGCCAGGATAGTGATAAAAGTCATAACTAACAGTTTTTTGTTTTTATATTCAAATTTGCAGGTATGTATATATACAAACATTGGGTACCCTGTATAAACAAAGCGTCCATTTTAAAAAAAAATAGACTTTCTATGTCGGTTCATACCATAACCGACGTAGTAAACACGTACTCGCTTGAGCGACGATTGTACTCGCTTGAGCGACGAAAGCTTCAAACAAAGGGGCCTCTCGGGTTCCATCTCTCTTGAGCGACGAGTGTACTCGCTTAAGCGACGAAAGCTTCAAACAAAGGGGACTCTCGGGTTCCATCTCGCTTGAGCGACGAGTGTACTCGCTTAAGCGACGAAAGCTTCAAACAATGGGGACTCTCGGGTTCCATCTCGCTTGAGCGACGAGTGTACTCGCTTAAGCGACGAAAGCTTCAAACAAAGGGGACTCTCGGGTTCCATTTCGCTTGAGCGACGAGTGTACTCGCTTGAGCGACGAGTATACACTTTCAACATCGGGTATGAATAACCGACGTTGAAAGCCTAAACTTTCAACGTCGGTTATCTATACCCGACGTTGAAAGTGTATACTTTCAACGTCGCCTGATACAACGTCGGTTGTATAACCGACGTTGAAAACCTTATATAACCGACGTTGAAAGGCATATCTGTAGCAGTGGTAAGAGAATATCTTAAGAGAGCGTTTATTTTAAGTAAATTATTAGTTATTTAAAGTAACTTATTATTATAAGAATCTTAAATTATATGATGAGTTATTTAAATTTGTTGTGAGTTACTTTAAAAAAACTTATAAAAATGAATAAAAAACGTAAATAAGAATAATTTTTTTTTTAGAAGTTCTACTAAAAGAAAAATCAACTGAATGGTTTAAGTATGATATAAAATTATACTTTAAGTAACATCAGAAGTAACTCATATTATAAGTTGCTTCTAGAGGAGATGGAAATGTCATAAGAGATGGTATTCATGGATATTTAAACATGTTTCAAATTTAAATATAATAAAACAATCTTAAATTTGTGATAAAATTCTGAATAAAATTGATAAAATATTCCACACCAACTCTTATTACTTGTAATAATAAATGTAAAGAGATATTGTTGTACAATTTTCTATTAGTATGGCTATGTATGAACTGTTTGACATCTTTTTATCAACATATAAATGAGAATTTTAAAATATAATAATATTTGTGTTTATTAATAGATGAATAATGATATAAAAGATGTCTGAGAATTCATTGGTGTTAATATGATGATCCTAAAAATTAACAACAGATCGATAAACTTGACCAGGTTTCCAGTCACGTGGGATTACATTATAAGCCACAATGGTTTTCCTACTGTTCTTGGCATCTTCCGTGAGCTTAATGGAGAATGGTGGTTGCATCCATGAACCTAAGTTCAAAGCCCACCTTGAACCCCATGAACGTTGCATTGGAAGCCACTTGTCAGAATTAGCTTGCTTCAACTGAATGTCCACAAGGTCACCATCTCCATTTTCGTATTCTATTTCTGTCGCAAAATAGTAAGGGTTGGCCCCATTGTCGATTGAAAAGGCTATGGAGTTCCCAAAGGAGCATGCAACCCTGCAAACCCAAAAGGGTATTATTTCAAATTACTACTACCACTGCACCAAAAGTACTCTCGCAGCAATTACCATCGGAAAGAAAACAAGAAACATGTTGTTAAAATATAAAAATAAGAGTGTTTAGTTCTCAAATTGTCTGTGATAACGTTAATAAGAGTGTTCTGGTGTTCTGTCATCCTTTGATTCATTATTGCATCACAGCCTCACAGGTATTTTTATTGTAATATATATCAAAATTAGATAAAAATAATAAAAGTTTATAGATTATAGGTACTTGAATATATATGAGAACACGTATAAAAGAGTTACCTTTTGTAGAGAATGTTAAGTTGTCCAACATTGCGAAGATTAGTTGCTTTCCCTGAAGTTGCCATGGAACCAAACGCAGTACCACTCAGATCAAAATGGACTGGTCCTAAGAAACAGCTAGGGCATTCATCAGTTATCATCACGCTCACTGGATTTCCTGAACAAGCCGAGTTTTCTCTGCATTTCACCTGAAAATTGATAGCAACTAAGTGTTTGAATCAAAGTTCAAAGTGTTTGAATAAATTCCTGCAGAATCAGTTTAAAAGTTTACATCCACTTATGTATTACAATTCAGATTTTAACACACCCCTCTCATATCTTTAATCTCCAACTTCAATTGAACTTCTATAATCAACTCATGAAATAGAAAAACCATTTGAATCTATTATTCTAAGCAAGAAAAAGCAAATAACCATCATGTTGCATGCACCTTATAACAAGCTCCACATCCTTTGCCTCCTTTAAAAAGAGAAGAACCTCCTGCTGACACCATTTTAGAGAGTGGAGGTTTCTCCACACTGTCAGAATATCCACAAGCACCTCCTACGAACATCAGAAGAAGAATAAAAACAACAATGTTTCAGTTCATCTTTGGTCAAAAGCTAATTAATTAATAATATCTTACCAGAGGTTTATCTATTCATGAAATTATATACAGAAAATAATAACTTCAATTCGTAAAAAGTGTTCATAATTAACACTTTTCAGTTAATTTAATTTCAAACTGTTAAGTAATACCCACCATCGGATCCACCACCCTCTGGTTCTCCGTACCATGTTGCTGCTGCTATTTGCCATTGATCACCGTTTCGAATTTTGGAATCATTAAACAATTTGAGATTGAGACAATGGCTAGGGTTTAGGAGCAGAGAATAAAATACTACAACAAAAGAAATGTGACTAAGAACTTGCATGATGCGATTCGTAAATAACAACAGAGCTTGAGATTAATCGTGTTGGTGCAATATTCTGCTACACCACATCCTAGTCGTATTTATAGACCAATATATTTCCGTGATTTAATTATTTTTCAAAATAAATTATTGCCATATAATTATCCCAAGAAGAAAAGAGGGAGATATTTTATACCTTGTTTCCGTAATGGTAATTATTTTCAAAAAAATAAAATAAAATTATTTCCTTACAGTATATGTATATATATATATATATATATATATATATATATATATATATATATATATATATATATATATATATATATATATATATATATATATATATAGTTTTCGTGAAAGAAGCAAAACTATATTGCGTTTCATCTTTGACTATAATTTTAGATTCGATAAAAGGTTTAAAACTAAAATGATAGTATTAAATACATTTTTTTATTGGTGTATATTGATTCTAAAATGATTTTATAACATTTTTACATGAGTTAGACTACCACTTTCATTTTTCTCTTATTAAATATTCAATGCATGCCAAATTTAAACAGACTGAAACCATAATCTGTGTTACGTTTCCTCCTTAAAATAACAAAGCTTTAGTGCCATTTCACTGTTTCTTTTGCTACCATTAATTAATACAATGTTATATAATTTATTGATAATACAAAATTCAAATATTTAAAACTTTTTAGCTTTAAAAAGTAAATTAACAGAAAAAAAAAGATTTTATTGGGAATTGGCAAATATTCCAGTGTACCATATAAATTAAAAATAACAATAACTTAATTTGATATAAAATCTTAAAGACAAGAGATATGGGTCACAAAATGAGAATATATATATATATATATATATATATATATATATATATATATATATATATATATATATGTATGTATATATATAAAGAACAGAGACTTATAAATCAACTTATTAGACTTATTTGTCTTTTTTAGAAAAATAAGTGTTTTAATTAAAATATTAAGATAATTAAATAAGTTTTTTTCTTTGGTAATTAAATAGTATTTCTTAACATAGAAAGAGTAACCGTTGAAAAAAAATACAATAAAGAAATAGTGCATATAAAGACACTATAAATAAAGTTTATACTATTATTTTTTTAATTAATAAGTATGTAAAATAAAACATATTAATGACATTGCAAAGTTGTTTTAAAAATGTTGACCTAAACACAAAGTATGTGGATTCAAAGATAGATGTTGAGCATGGTGGAAATCAGCCTAATTTTCACTGATTGTTGATGCAGATTTATTACAGATTTGACTCAATTTTACATTAGGCATTTATAATTTCGGTACGTTTGCTAGGTAGAGACAAATCCTCACGATTTGTTTAACCTACGAGAAGATATATATTAAGAAAAAAAAATAACCTAGGAATTGTAAGTACGTAAGAATTAACCTGCTTCAACACAAAAATACAATGTATTTATAATTTGGTACATACACAAGTTATTATAATAGGTTGGTCTGTTAACACCTCCCCGAAAATTAGGTTAGTTTGCACTTTAAATATGTTACGTACAAAATATCGTTTTACTACTTAACTTGTTAATTGGCTTTATCTCTGTTTATCATTTTTTTTTCTTTTTCATATAAGTTATTCAGATTTCCTTTTTACGTAAAATGCAACTTTAAAGTCAAGATTAAGAGCATATACAAAGGAAAGTTGATGGAGATTATGAAAATCTTAAGTGAGATAAATACTAGTGTATGAACTCATATTTTAATAATCACATTTCAAAACAAGCCCATTTGTTTTTTTTTTAAGTTATAAAAATATTCAATAAAAAATTCTTTATACTTTCATTTTTTTTGTCAGAATATATATATATATATTTACAACTACAAGTCGTATAAAAAGATTTTCCAATTATTAAGATTTTAATCGATATTATATTATTAATATTGACAAAATTATTTTTTCATTTTTATATTATATTAGATATTAAATTAATGATAGATCTTCGTTAATAATATATTATTAATAAATAATAAAAAAATATGAAAATATGAAGATGAAAAATTAAATTTGTAATATATATATATATAATATTTAATTATTATTAAATTTTGAAAGTTAAAAATATAAATAAAAATGTAAGTTAAAAAATTTTGATTATTATTTAAAAAAATGTATTTAATAATTAACGTGACATATTTTAGAATATGTTTCTTAATCTTATTAATATTTTTAAATTATTATGTAGAAGTGATTGATTATTATATTTGTAAGGTTAGTGTTATTTTAAATAAATTATATTTGTTATCATTATTTTATTATATAAAATATATTTATTAAATTTTAATTAATGTGATATTTTTATATAAAATAATAAACATATGTGTCATGTTACTAAAAATATAAAGATTATGAATGTCATTTGTTAAAATATATATTAAAAATAAGAGTATCGTTTTATAGTTGTTATGCACTCCAAATTGAATGATGGGTTGGACTACGTATTCGAAATGGGTTAAGTAAGTTAGCCCAAGCCTAATGATGGAAATAAGCTATTCTTCTTAGATTTTATGCTATTCACACATCCCCTTTTCATAACTTGTATCCTTCTCACCTTTACACTCTTATATTCTCCTAGACTTTATAGAAACTAATTATGCTCTCTCTCTCTCTCTCTCTATATATATATATATATATATATATATATATATATATATATATATATAATAATAAAAATTGTAATTTAATATTTTTTACATTATAAAAGATTATTTCTATAATATATATTTTTTTACAATGAGAAAACTATATTTTCTAATTTTTTTATTAATGTATAAAAACATACATTACGAACTAGTTTTATAATGTATTATGTCATAACTATTAACTATATTATAACATTTAGTTTATGTAATAAGATAGAAAAAGAAGAAGTGTCGATACCATTCCCTTTTCACTTTTTAATTGGTGATAAAAAAAATTATGTGGACATATCCACGTCTTTTATATTTTTTTTAGAATAAATGTTTTTTATTTATTAATCTCAAAAGATAACATGTTTAAGGATTTTAAATCATATTTAGTGTTTATGTAGAAAACAAGATTGGGTTATATAGGGAAGTAACAGGGAAATTTCTAGATGAGTTAGAAGGGAAAAAAAAAGTTTGAGCTCTGAATTCTTGGTTGTGGAGGAACATAATTTTGTTATATTTACTGTAAAAAATATAGGTGTTTGGGCTCTTTTATTACGGTATTTTTTATTATATTTTTATAAAATAGTATTTTTATTTCTAATTTAAGATGATATATTTAAAATGAGAAAGAAAAATAAAAGAGAACATATAAATTATGTTGTTTTAAAAGGGAGAGAAATATCACACAATGTGTAATTGAAACTAGAAGAGAAATTATAATTTTTTATTAATTCTATTAGAGAAAACAAAAGAAATTTATAATTATAAAATAAAATATTAAATAGTGATAATAAAATAATTATAAATGAATTTCTTTATATAATTTTTATAGATAAAAGAATAAATTTTATATAATTCCTATTTTTTTCTGAATTTGGTTATATATTTAGTTTGTTAACCATTTTTATTGTGAGTTTTTGAGGTTTAAAAGAAATATTTAGTTCGTTAACTATTTTCATTATATATTTTTTGTCATTTAATTTTTTAAAAATATAATCATAAATAATTTATATAAACTTTAATTTTTTTATATTTATTGGATCAATTGTTATATAGGTAAGAATATATTAGTAGCCATTATGAATTGTTTAAAAAAAACGCGTAAAGAAAAAAGTTAAAAACACATAATAAAAGTGAAAAGTATAATAAAAATTAACATTAAAAAAATATTTATATTTATATTTATATTTGAAATGATAACTAAGAATGAAAATGAACCGGTAAAAATAACAGTAAAAAATTGCATTTTTTTCTTTGAAGATAACATGCACAATAAATAAGCTATTAGATAATAACTTAAATAATACCGTATTCAATAAATATTATTATATAAAGGGACACATAATTTAAAAATTAAAATTTTTATTAATAATTAAGAAAAATGAAAAAATTAATATTAATTTTTTTAACAATCATTCTTTTAAACCGAAAACAACATTGTTAGGTAAACTGATAATTAAATATGATCTTCAATCTAACGATCAAATATAAAATAATCTCATACTGTAAACATGTTATAAACTAAATGCGAAAGAATTAGCCATAATGATGATGTCCCTTTTAGAGCATTATTGATCTTATGGTCTTCCACCTGAAGAGCACCTGTATTTCCCTCTTGATTTTCTTTCTTGATGGGGATAGAAAGAAAAGAACGGGACTGTAACTACGTTCTGTCTACATGCTCCCAGAAGGGGACCATGACCCCTTAAAATAACCAAAATTAGGTTAATTACTTAAGTTTTAGTATTTCCAATTTGACCCCTCATCAAATTAGAAATTGCTCTATGGTCTCTACACAATTTTATTTTCATGACATATGCCTTTAGTCAAACCTTTTTAATTTAGTCAGATCACTTTATTATTTGGCTTAATAAATAATGACTCTAACACATTTAAATATGTATCATATATATACATGACCCAAATTTTGCCAACAATCTCCCACTGGTCACAAATATATATGTCCTTACAACCTTACAAATATGTTAGACTTTATGAGCTCAAAATTGTCATTATATTCCTTTAGCATATTCCAAAAGTCATGTTCATTAATCATATCAGGATATAGAACCAAACCAGTTTTTCATTGCATCATCGCAACTAAAACCAACAATGATTACTCATCCTGACATAACCAAATGACATGGATTCATCATGAAATGTGTAGCATGAAAAATTACGTGAAGGTGATCTGTACACATCTATTTTCAACTGGTCCAAACTTTAACTTATCGAGATCGATACAATAACCTTAATGTACAAAGTGTAATGAATGAACAAGAAAACCGCATATCTATAGATAACCAAATATGTCCAAAAAAAACAATGTAT